CCCCCCCCCCGCCCGCCCGTCCGTCCGTCTCTCCCGCGGGTGGGCGCCGCTGCAAGGCCGCCGCCGGGCTCTCGCCGGACGGGGTGACCCCCGGCTGGACGCGCAGCCCTTCGCCTGCTCGGCTCTTGGGGAGAGGAGAGGGAGAGGCTGGCCCTGCGGCTCCCCTCTCCCCAAAATAAAGGGGCAGAGAGACAGCCAAAGAGACCCTTTCTAGACAGAGACGAAGGAACCGTTTTGTGATTTTTCTGGCAGGGGATCAGCCTTGTAGTTTGCTTGAATATGATGCCCGTTCGAAATCATGTCTGTTTTGAACCACAAAAGTAGCAAAAAATCTGTTGGTCTATAAAGCACCCCAGGTTATTATACCGTGTGTGTGTGTGTGTGTGTGTGTGTTTAGTGTCGCTTGTTGCCTTTCAGCTAGCTTAGAAGAGGACAAAAAATGTTAAGTTTTACTTAGAACTCAGAAAGTGAATTTGGGATAGCGAATATCTATTCTCTTTTATCCTTCACGGTCTCTAACCTGTTAGACGTTCTTGCACGATTATGCTAAAAGTGATCTAATCTGAAAATACACAACTCTGGTTTTCAGAGAGCAAACAGGAGAGGAAGAATCAAAGAGAACTAGAAGAGGGACCAGAAGAAACAGAAATACTCACCTCTCCAATTCAGCCTCAGTCTGCCCGAGCAACCAACATAGGGACCATCTGGAAAGATCAAAAGAGATCCATTTGTTGGGATGGAAGAGCAGTGGGAAATGCAATGGGAACAGTTCCTCCAGACGCAACCCAGCCACACAGAAGGGATCTTGAAGGCTTCTCCCTGGGAAGACCCCAAGGCCTTCCTGGCCTCCTTTGAGCAGGTGGCCACGGCCTGCCGGTGGCCCAGAGGAGAGTGGGCGGCCCGTCTCCTGCCGGCCCTTTGTGGAGAAGCTGAAGTGGCCTTTCGGAGCCTGGACACAATTCATCAAGAGGATTATGAGAATGTAAAGGTGGCCATCTTGAGGGGAGAAGCTATGACAATGGAGGTGCAGCGTCAACGTTTCAGACAGTTCTACTGCCAGGAAGTGGAAGACCCACGAAGGGTTCAAAGCCACCTCCAGGACCTCTGTCACAGGTGGCTGAAGCCGGAGAGACACACCAAGGATCAGATCCTGGAGCTCTTGATCTTAGAGCAGTTTCTGGCCAGCCTTCCTCCAAAGCTTCAAGGCTGGGTTCAGTCAAAGAGGCCAGACACATGTTCCCAGGCAGTGGCCCTGATGGAGGACTTCCTTAGGAGCCAGCAAGAAGTCAGATCCAGCTCATGTCAGGTAGGGTTTACTATTTAAATCTCATTTAAATTACTATTTAACCCTCAAAATTCACGTTGCAGAGTATGGGTTTGGAGGCTGGGAATTGCCTGCACTATATTGTTAGACAATGCAGAATTCAGCTTTGGAATTCACTACTACAATTCATGGAAATCATGGTGATCAATGGCTATCAGCCTTGATGGCAGTGGGACTGCCTCTGAAGGTCATCAGTTGGGAGATTAGTGGGCTTCCTTGGGCCCCTGGGAGAAAGATTGCTGGACTAGATGGGCCAGGGGTCCAATCCAGCAGGACACTGCTTAGGTTTTTATGTTCTTCAGTTGATAACTGGTTGCTTTTCTAACAAACAGCAAAACCTGAAACCATCTGAACCAGCTTACGTTAACTTCACACACACAAAAATCCAGATATATTAAACTTACCCAAGTTGATTTTTTTATTTACTGCAGAATCCCGTTACCTTTAGGGTTAGGGTTCTCTGGGGAGAAAAGGTGTTGATTTCCCCGCTGTAATACAGTAATAATGAGAATATTTCACAGAAAGTGAGAGAAGACAAAAGCACTGCATGATGTCCACAATAAGGTACAGGTAGTCCTTCACTTACGACAGCAGTTGGGATCAGAATTTCAGTCACTAAGCGATGCAGTTGTAAAGTGTGACCGCATCGCTTAGCAACGGAAATCCCTGCAGTCCTGGTTACTGTCATTAACCAAATCCCACAGTTGTTAGGCAAGGCAAAATTCCTCCTGCCTCGCGCCTCCCAAATGCGGGCGGGAGGCAGCACGGGGA